AATCTTAATAATATTATTTAATATTATTAATTTTATTTCAAATGGGAAACATATTTTAAACGTGTGATAACTGAGAGGTATTTTGAACTACAGAAGGCCTTTTTGAGGTAAAGGTACACCCTGCTATGAATGTTATTGCTCTTAAACGTAGAAATCTTCTTGAAGAACACCTGGTCTTATTGCCTGTGAGAAAATAATTATTACACCATTCTGTGTGGAGGTTTTAATAGAATGTGAAAAACAAGGTGTTGTCGAATAAATAGCATTTAATTCGATTGTATTTTATAAGGCAGGTACTGTGATCTTTTAAGCTTACGTACATAATTGAATACGATAAAATAAACTACAGCTCAAATTCATTTTAATTTATGKATGACAAACATGAGGAAGAGGGATCAGGATTTGGTAATTCAGAAACTGCAGCATTAAATAGTTTTTAATTCAAACTTTCACTATAATGAGAAACATTAAATTTGTGCATACCTTGCGTATATATGTATTGCCAGATGCCATGGTATAATACTAATAAAATTAAAATACCATAGTTCACGAATTCCAAATCGATTGCTGAAAAATGATTAATATTTGTTTTTTTTTAAACACTTTATACGTTTTTAAATGTTAATAAATCACTATAAAACATTGTTTAAATAATATTCAAATTTCAAAGTATTCAAAGTATTTATATTTTGATTAATGACGAAAATTGAATATTTTATTTTTGTCATTCTTTATTTTCTCTTATATTTAACATTTAACGAAAATCAAATAAATATAAGGGCATCATTGTTTTGAGAGTAGATGGATGAACTGTTGCATCCCTATTTTATTCTGTCTTTTTATGACCCTTTTGGCCTRCCATACGATTTAAAAACGTGGCGATGGTCGATGCAAATAAGTTTAAATATAGGTTTCATTAAATCCATATACGTATAATGTAGTATGTATGGAGGTAATGTATATTTGTATTTATAAATACTAAGAGCTAAGATGTATATTATTGTTTATTGGTATGCCATAACTTAATGACAAATAAGATTGGTATGCAAGACAAAAACTATTTCCAACTTACAACTTTCCAATTTTTTTATTATTAAATATTGTATTCCCTTTTAATCCCACGCAGACATGAAATACACATAAAAAAAAAATTCGATGCTCAAATCTTTAGTGCCACTGAATTAATAATTTTAGTTTAGGTCCTACGACCAGTGGTTTTTGATGACGAACTTTTACACAGTTGTGTATGTCAATAAAATAGTGTCACAGTCTTACAGAGTGACACGCGCATATCATAGGTTCGTCATCTCTGTTATATGCAGTATTATATGAACCATAATGGAATGCATACGGCGATGTTGCAAATAATATTATGAGTTGACGCTGCCGGAGCAGCTCTATTCTTCTTTTATCCATTATTTTTGATTTTGATTTTTAAATATCCAACTCATAATTTCTTAGTTATAAAATGATTA